CCTTCGAGTTCGCTCATCACGATTCTGGTACCACGCGTTCTGACGCCCTCGTCCGGTCGGTCTATAAGGTCCTTGCGGCGCACTCGAGTCGCTGGAGAAAAGTCCACATTGTCATCCACTCGGAACGCGAACTTGATTGGTGTAGAAGTGTACAGCCCAAATTAGGTTGTCTCGAAAAACTTACTCTATCCTTGGCCAGTCGCGACTCCTCCTTCGACGTAGCAGGTTTATTTTGTGATGCGCCCAATCTCAGGGAACTAGAGCTACATGGGTTCCCGGCCAGCTATACGACTGCTTTGCCAATGCATCGGCTCACCTCATTTGAGTTTGCGAGCGTCTAGAGCGGGAAGGCGCCCGATGCATCGGTGCGCGCTCGGTATCTCAAGGCGTTGCAGGATTCTCCTACTCTTTCGCGTTTTGATTACCCAACGATCCCCACACCGTACACCGCGCCCTCGTTCTCCGGGGGCCGAATTCTCAAGCCGCTGGTTACAGAATTGAGCGTTGGCGATCCAGCATTCCTCGCTTCCTTGCTGCTCCCGTCACTCGCGTCGTTGGTGATGGGCTGCTTTATTGAAGGCAATATCCCCGCTATCCCCCAGCCCCCGGAGACGCTGTACATCGTATACAAGATGTTGGAGGAATCCCAGTTCCCGTCGCTCATCACGCTCACACTCAGTAATGTGCTGCTGGATGATACCCTTCTTGATATTCTCGATAACTTGGACACACTTCAATCGCTCTGGCTCACCCTCACGGAGTGGGATGAGCAACACGACAGCGTCTTGGAAAAACTCGTCTACGACATGTGGAGCGAAGACGATGACGGACTGTTCCCTTTCCTCCCTTCTCTTCGGTCCTTTGATCTGGAATTGGAGGACCGGTATCATAATAGCGTCTATTCAGAATATTTGTTCTTTGATGATAGCTTTGCTGAGATGGTGTTGGCAAGGATAGAGCGCAGTGCGCTGCGTTCGGTGGAGGTGTCGGTCGCGTCGGAGGGTGGGTCGTGGCCGATGGGGAAGTCTAAGGTGAGGGCTTTGAGAGAGACGCCGGGGGTGCTTATTAGTGCTTGGGATTGGGAGCAGGAGAGCGGGGAGGGAATGTTCATGAGCGACTCCTCCGAGGATGAGGATTAGTGTACTTGTGCCGCCTCTTTCTGCAGTCGACACCTTCAATGATGACACAGCTTGTCTCTATGAATATCATCATGACTATGGCACGCAATATCATCATGCATTTAAACGACGCAATCGGTAGTTCGAAACTATCCATCACTCTAAACCATCCGCAGCCAGTAGAACAGGCGGCTTGATAAGTATTTGGAGCGCGCAAGACTTTCAGTATCAAAGATCATCAGTTGCGGGGTCTGGAGAAAAACTTCGGCGCTACTATCTCTCCGCTGTCCCGACATAACTATGAAGATTCGATTCTTTTGTGACTGGCATTAAGCCAAGCGTACCTAAGATGATCTCGTCGAAGGTTGCTGCATGACTATCCGTAAAATTGAGCGTCGAGCTCAGGAGACGAAGCTCTTTCAACCGGTGCGAGCTGTCCAACATCTGTAATGTCTTCATGGCACAATCAACGCTACCAGACGTCTGAGCCTCAAGTTCGAGAAATAGATGAATGGAGATCAGGTGTTTCAGCGACGAGAGGTTGAGCGGAGCTACAACAAAGGCTCGAATCAGCAAATAGGTCATGTTCAGGCTAGATGGACAGACCGTCGAAAGAGGAAACAACCAAGTGGAGGTGCTTGAGTGTTTGCCAGTTGGTCCTCATCAGCGATTCTAAGAGGAACACCGCTGACGACCCGCCTGTGGACCACCCTGCAATGGTGTGTATATCCAGCGTCTCCAACATATGACAACGCGACTGAAGCCAGATAAGGAGACTATTGATCCATCTTCCACCCAATGACAGGCGAGAGACAGGAAGAGTTTCCGAGGTGTTCAAATGGTAGTTAGATGGTATAAAGCTTAAGAACATATCTACATGTTCCGGATTGATCTCGATAGTCAGAGACCGCAAATGCTTGAAGCCCAGGACTGTAGTGAGGAACATACACAGCTCGTCAGCCTGTTGTAACCACATATCCGTATCGTTACAAGGAGCAACGTGGAAGGTTAAGCTCTGGAGATCCGGGTATATGTGAAGAAGATGGGGAGTTAGGCGACCGCGGCGCCAGATAGTTGCTCTCTGCGGCTGAAAGCCCTTCAATTTGAGAAGGTATAGCAATCGCCACTGCTGGCGATAACGCTTCCCGCCGAACTCGATGCCAGTACAGTCAAGCCATGGGGATAGTGTTTCCAAAGGCGAGCGTAGGAGGCGGCCCAACCGAATAGTACGTTCGTGAGATGTAAATCGGAGCTCTATATGCAACTCCCTTCGACTCGCGGGCACCCATGCAACACAAACGAGGCTGCAGGCTAGTAACGAAGACTGATCCTCGCAGAACGCAATGATGATGTCACAGAGTTCTCTCGGAAGAATGGGCTGCTGGGCGATAGGAGTACTGGACCGTTTGATGGCGAGGCGCAAAAGCTGGATGAGAGGATGAACAATGACCCAATCTAGGCAGACGTCGCCGTAGGCTGTAGACCATTTCAGGGCTCTCGTCGAATAATAGAGAAGCCAGTATAGGACAGCTGGAACAGCACAGAGGAGAGCCACGCTCCAAAAAAAAATATCGTCCAACCCTCTTCTCACCCCACGAAACCAGCATACCACCGCGACGATAACGATAAACGGTCCTATGATACCGACCACGCGAGCGGCACTGTCCGTACATCCTTTGTGCGCAGAAAATCCTGCACTATCCTCTCCGTCGCATCTGCAGGCCGCGAAGTCGATGACAGGATGCGAAGTATGATTGCGCCAGGTAGAGCAAAAGTCGGTCATGGGATAAAGCAGAAAAGGACGGACACTTGTCTCGGATGATCACTGGCTAGTACGGCATCTAGCGGAAGGATCAGTACAAGACGTGGGTTTATCCATCCACACTCTGTACCGCATCCATAAGGTTCTTACCATTGATATATAAAGCGTCTAAGGATAGTCGCAGTGGGAAGGGCATCATGATCCGTGATGCCCGCCTCGACCAAAGTTCGTAACGTCTTGATAGCATAGTCGATGCTAGCAACTGAGCCGACAGTGAGGAGAAGACGAATTGAGTCTAGTTTCGTTCCTTGAGAGGCGCTGTACATAAAGTCAGAACAGGATTAATATTCTTATAGAAATACGAACCATCGATGATAGGCACTGCCATCACCAAGACATCGAGAACGAGATCGCCTAATGCCTGTATTTGCCTGGCTTGATGCTTGGCGAACACGCCAAGCATTAGAGTCGGCACGGCAAGGACTTTGAGCATGAACATCACTACAGCCTTCGCAATCCTCATCCACCCCTTCCTCAGGTGTGCCGTACGACACGAAACGAAGCCTCTACCGACGACCAGGAGGACGGGCATGCAGATTCCGATGACCCGCAGAATGCTGTCAACGCATACGGTCGAAGCCTTGTTGTACGAAAGGTCAGTGGTCGCATCAACAGGCAGTGAAATCAAAGGAAGGATGTGAAGCCTTGTCTCCCAATTGAAGGCACAACTCTGCCATGAACGACGCTATCTTGATGGTCAAGGAAAGAGGATAGATGGATAGAAGATAGAGAGCGACCATTTGTTGAGCGGCGCGTGATTGATAGTTGATGCTTGTTGGGTTGTATTCTTAGCAAGCTAAGTGGATGACGAGTCGGCGGATGGCAGTCGCATACGTCGCAATATAAAACAAGGATAGCGCAGCCGCTGTGAGCCAAGATATCAGCATCCGAGCGCCGTAGAGGCACGCACTAGTAGAGAGCAAGAGAATTGCCAGCATTGCAGACTGGTAACATGCCCGGCTTGAAACCCCTCTCACAACGTCCAATTCTGAGCGCGAATACGGATGCTTTCGGAAAGCGCATGACGGTAACTTGAAGTCGCGAAAGTCCGGGACAATCAGCGTGACATAGCTCACGTGTCGTGACCCAACAGTCTCGGCCGCGCACGATCACCTGGTTATCTCTCACCTTGGCAGCAGCTATAAATGTTTGGGACTTCGTGTCGGACTACCATCACGTCGAAATGAATCTCTTTCCAAAGGTACGATACTTGACTTTTCTCCCCCGGATTCTCCAATAACATCTGCATAGTATGAACTCCAACCGATAAAGGTCGACGAAGGGGTGGCTGGCATTTCTTCGACGGCGCGCTGAAGACCTACTTTATCGGCGCTGACGGAAAGGGAAACTTCACCTCGCGTCAAATCTTCACGGCCAACAACCCGCACACGGGCGCGGGACGGAAGAGCACCGCGACGCGTACGTACCACCCGCGTTTTCTGAACCCTTATGAAAGACCTTCCCCAGCGCCGTACCACTGGCACATACACCAAACGGAAACATTCGACGTCAAGTCCGGCGACGACCTCGACGGCACGCTTGGTAAGCTCACTGCCGGGGAGACGGTCACCATCGCCCCCGGGCGCTATCACACCTTCTGGTCCGACCCCGACTCCGGCGTCGACCTCGACGTGCACATCAGCGTCCGCGGCGGCCCCAACGCGGCTTTGTGCACAATTTCTACGGCTACTTGAGCTCGTGCACGATGCAGGGCCTGGCGCCGAATCTGTTCCAGATGCTCGCGTTCATGGACTATGCGGATGTTGTGCTGGTCGACTTCCCGCTGTGGACGGGGAGGTTGGCAAACTTGGTCATTGGCCGGTGGATTGGGAGGGGCATTGGCGGGTACGATGTTGAGTACAAGGTGTTTGATGAGAAGAAGGACTGATGTTGTCTACTGATGTTGTCTTTGTTGACTTGAGCACATGAGGACCAGTGCAGTGACCAAGTCAAACGATCCGAGTCCGAGTCGTACCAGACAGGAGGATTAAGTCGCGGGAAACTCTTCCTTGTGATTGTGATGAAGGCAAGATGAAGAGAAGGCGCCCTACTTACCAACATCGGATATGGTGTAACGGCTAACATTGCCGCCTCTCATATGAGAAGTGTTGGACGCTGCGCGGCAGCTCGGGGTTCGATTCCCCGTATCCGAATAGGATGGCTCCCTCTTTTTTTCACCGTGTAGAAATATTGGGCCGAAGAGAGCACTCAGCGCTGAGCAGTAAGTAGTACTGGTCGCTGCCTGACTTTCTGATGAGGGTGATTTGTGGATGTGATTTTGTCTGTGTGGCGCAGACGCCACGGCAAGTTGCTTTTAGTACAAGCTGAGCATGTTTCTGGAGGCTTCTATGTAGCTCCATCTGTAGTCGGCACATGCGGTGTGTAGGAAGGTATCTTCATCGGGTATGGTGTAAAGGCTACCATTGGTACTTACCATCGCTGGTGCCTCTCATCGAAGGCAGCTCGGGGTTCAATTCCCTGTATCCGAATGTGATCGACACAGCCAATTGGTGAAATTTTGGTCGCGACAAGCACCGGAGTGGTTACTAGCCCTCTAGATCAATGTCCTTCTTACGGCATGCCTCAGAATCAGTGTAGGGGCTTGAGTCTGTCGTTGAATACTGCGAGCGAGCTGTTCCATTTTGTGCCCGGACGTTGAACGTTGATATGAGCTTGAACTTACGTTCTTAGTCGCAAGTGAGAAGGCACTTGTAGCCCATCGGCTACCTCGTGCTCATGCATACTGACAGAGAACGCTCTTCTTCTTGTGCCAAGAGTTGAGTACTTATCATTGCCGCTGAAGTGACTGTTCTCACATTCTTGAACATGCACAGTAAGTCGAGGAGTCGTGTTCCTCGTAAGCGTCGGTCTTCCAGCTTTCAAGTAGTCATGCCCACGATACAGCTGTCTTCATCGGGATTGTGATGATGGCCAGATGAAGAATTCAACTACGATTCGGGGATGGTCACCACTTTTTGTACTGTACTCACAGCGTTCCTTAGGGAAAGCTCTCCATTGAACGTTCCCTAGTACACGCTCGGAGGGCGGGACGCCACCTACCCATATATCGGATATGGTGTAATGGCTAACATTGCCGCCTCTCATAAGTGGGCAATTGTGCGTGCGCGGCAGCTCGGGGTTCGATTCCCCGTATCTGAATCTGAATCGGTGACCAAAGCGAATACTTTTTCAAGTTTTTGCTGGCTTGTCATGTCGGATGCAATGTGGCGCATTTTCCGGGTGCAAGCAGCAAAGTCCTTAAATTTGTCTTGGTATCAACCTACTATCGAATATTGTCGACTGGTCTAGCAGTTCTGTACCAGCCCCTCCCTCTACCGCCTCCGCCTCACCTGCATGATGTCACGACACGATCCTGTGCACCGCTCGTTTTTTTCTCCGGAGCCCGTGACCGTGAAGGCCTTCCTCAAGCCACGAATTTTTTACTTGAATAAAGCCTGAGCGAGTCGTCGGGGATGTTGAACTTGTGTATGTGTTGCACATAAGAAATTGCGCCACGTCAATTGCACGAGTTCGAAGCTCTACATCTATTCTGGTCCACGTAAGGTAAAGGAGAGCAAGTACAGTGTATGTTAAAAATACAAATGCAAAAAAGTCCCAATCAAGCACATATCCAGTATGTTAAGTATCTTACACGCTCGTGGCAAACGTAAATGGTGGCTTGCTGCTCGTCGTAGTAGTCTCCTCTACGCTACTTGTCGTGCTCGGCACTGAAGTAGAAGATGGAGAGACCGATGAGGTAGATGCAGAGGACGTAGCCGCACTCGACGTAACAGTGCTCGCACTGGTTGAGCTCGACTGGGCAGCCAACTTGCTGCTCTGACTGGCCTTGGCGGACCTCTCAGCTGCAGCCTCCTCGTCCGCCTCGGATGTGGATGTCGCTGAGGGTTAATGGAAGAAGATAGGGCGGATGAGGAGGCGATGGAGGTAATGGTCGTCGAAGCACCAGACGCGATCGCAGACACGGGGCTCAACGAGGGGAAGGGGTTCGCGGTGGAGGAAGAGGTAGCGACAGCGGTGGAAGAGATGGCTGATGTGGACGAAGCCGTAGAGATAGCCGACGTCGAGACGGAGGATGGGCTGACACTCGACAAGACACCTGCACTCGATGTAACAGCAGATACGCTGGCAGATGCAGTCGCCGACGAAACAGGCACCACCAGTATCGTCGTCGTCTCCGTAACAGTTGCCGTCACCGTGACCACACTTGCGCCCGATGCCACCACAGCCGTCGCAGTCGCAGTCGACGCCGAGGCTGTAGAAATGGGGACAAGGCTTATGGACCCGTTGACGATTTGGCGCTTGGCAGCGGCGGAAGGACGCGCGGCCACGAGAAATGTAGAGGAGCCTGTGGGTGAAGAGGAGGAGGGACGGGCGATGAGGGTGGTGATGACTTCAGCTCCGGCAGTGGCGACGGAGGAAGCTGTAGAGGAAGCGGAGGCGGAGATGGTAGTGGCATCGTCACCGTCCTCACAATCGTCGTCGTCGTCCGCGGAATCGGTGCCATCGTCTTCGCAATCATCCCCATCCGCAGCCGTCCCAGACGCTTGCGCCGCACTCGCAGTCGCCGTCGCACTCACACTCCCACCAAGCCTCACAGCCGCATCGGCCGTCGTATCACACACCACACTCGTCCCAGCGCTGTTCACCAGCGGAACAACGAAACACGACGTCCCAGACGCGCACTCCGTCACGACCCACGCCGACGATACACACTGCGCATAAGAGCCGTTAATGCAAGCTTGCGCTAGAGTGGCTTCTACATTTCCACTGTCAGCAATCACAGCAAAAAGGAAGAAAGGAGGACGCACCATCACACGCGTCGGCTGCGTTTATGGAAGCGAATTGTTCATTGAGCGCCGCTGCGAGAGCCAGATTGGAGGAGGCGAGGTCCGTCGTAGAAGAGGCCGAAGCACTAGCGGTAGCGCTCGCCCTCTGGATTAGACGATGCGGATGGCGCGGCGTGCGCTTCATCGGGGCGGCATGCACATTGGCAGCAAGGAGGAGTCCAAGGAAAGTGGCAGTGGCAGTCTTCATCATCTCTAATATCGTTCAAAGATCGTGTATATTGTCGTCGTCCGTGGGGCGCCAGGCCTTGTCTTCATTGTTAGCCTTTCCCTGACCGAACAGTTTTTTTGTTTGACGACTCACCAGGTGGTATATAGAGAGAAAAGGAGGATTGACGGGTAGGGCAGAACCCTGCGGCTTTATACTCGCTGCTATTGTTCCCATTGTGGCCAGAGCGTGCGATGGAGCGCGTAATTGTTGAAGGAGAACAATGGGATGGGTCGATGCGTCCAAACAACAAACAATCACCGGACCGGGGAACCGGAGTCTAAATATAGGTTTCATTACTTGTATTCCACGACGAACGACTCAACGAGCACGAGATAGCCGATGGGCTACAAGTGCCTTCTCCCTTGCACTACGAACAGCTCCAAGCTGATATCGGTGTTCAACGTGACACACAACACTTCATCGTATATGAGGACAGTATCTAACGACGGACTTCAGCCCCTACACTATATCGAACTGCTTCAGAGGCCCGTAAGAAGGACGTTGATCTAACCACTGGTGCTTGTCGCAACGAAAAATTCATCCGAAAGAAACACACTGCATTCGGGGAGCTGCCCAAATTCTATGAGAGGCGGCGACAACGGTAGCCTTTACAACATACCCAATGACGATGCACTCCTTAGTACGCACCGCACTTGTCGTACTTCTCTCAGATACAAATGGAGTTGGAAGCTTGTAGTTGAAAGAAATTTGGCAGCTTGCACGAGGCCAGGCATCCACAAATCAGCGAACACTGAACGTCGTCGGTAAAGACTTTAGAACACCCTGACGACAAGGAGCAAAAATCATCACGCTGTCCAGTCGCATTCGGATACGGGGAATCGAACCCCGAGCTGCCGCGAGAAGGCCACAAGACGCGCACGCACCAATGAGAGGCGGCAATGTTAGCCGTTACACCATATCCGAGGTACGCGTCGTTCCGCCCTCCGAGTCCGAGCCCGTAGGGAAATTTCAGACTGTAAGTACGTGTTGTCCAAATCTGAGTTGAATTCTTCATCGTGCCATCATCACAATCCCGAGGAAGACAGTTGTATCGTGACTACTTGATTGTTCGCCAAGCTGGAAGAGTTAAGACCGACACTTACGAGGAACACGACTTGACTCTATGCGTGTTGGTCGTCCCCCAAGATGTGAGAACAGTCAGCGACAATGATACTCAACTCTTGGCGCAAAAAGAAGAGCTTTCTGTCAGTATGCATGAGCACGAGGTAGCCGATGGGCTACAAGTGCCTTCTCACCTACGTCTTCAAGCTCATATCAGTGATCAGTGTTCAACGTCCGGGCACAAAAAGGATTTACAGGATGCTTGCAATGAGGACAGTATCCAGCGACGGACTCAAGCAGTACACTATCTAGACCTGGTACCGAGATCCGTAAGAAGGACGTTGATGTAATCGCTGGTGCTTGTCGCAACCAAAATTTCACCAGTGCATGCTTCGGCCATTCGGATACAGGGAATTGAACCCCGAGCTGCCGTATTCGATGAGAGGAGGCGGCAATGGTAGCCTTTAGACCATACCCGATGAAGATGCCTTCCATACGCACTGTACTTGCCATACTTCTCCTAGCTACAGATGCTCCCAGACATAGGTAGACGTGCTCCTTGCTCAGCGTGTAGTTGGATGAAGTTTGGCAGCTCGGGCGAGGCCCGTGGCGCCAGCATCCAAGAAATCAGTGAACGACGGTAACGACTTTGGAACACCCTGATGACAAGGAGCAAAAAGCAACATGTATCGGATATACGGATTCGGATACGGGGAATCGAACCCCGAGCTACAGCACGAAGGACGCACCACCCACGTCCCATGGGAGGCGGGAATGGTAGCCTTTACACCATACTTACCCGATGAAGATGCGTTCCCTATGCACTACTGCCCAGAAACATAATCAGCTTGTAGTGAAATGAAATTTGGCAGCTTCGTGGCGTCTGCGCCACACAGACAAAATCACCTCCACAAATCAGTAAATAACACCCTCAAACCGCGCCGGTCAGAAAGTTCAAGGTACGTGGTACTGCTCACTTTCGCCGCCCCAATATTTTGACGAGAAGGTGCAAAAAGAGCATCTACATGAACTGATCGTCCTAATTCGGATACGGGGAATCGAACCCCGAGCTGCCGCGCGAAGAGCATATTCAGAGTACATGAGAGGCGGCAATGTTAGCCGTTACACCATATCCGAGGTGGGAGAGGTGCCCTGGGAGTTTGCAGCGGACTTTACAGGTAGACTTTAGTGCTGACCATAAAAGTTCTTCATCCTGCCATCATCACGATTTCGAGGAAGACAGTTTCCTGTGACTTATCCTTATCGTGTTCGCCGTGGTTAGAACCACGTCGGTCTCAACAGTCATGCCTTGACAAGTCGCTGCCATGGCGTGTGAATCGAACTCTCAACCGATCAATTGATGGTCCAGGTATCATCTAACTCCAAACCTCTTCCTCCACCAGGGACTACGGACCTTGCTTGGTTTGCTTCTCCAAATGCAGACAATGCGTTGGTGGTGCGTGTTCCCTCTTCTTATGGCTGACACGGAGTCGTAGAAGCCAGTCTCGCATAGCGCATAGCTCAGCGTATGGATCGTGACGCAGTGCGCATCGGGCACGTCGTGTTTTGCTGTTCCGCTGGTGAACAGCGCTGGAACGAGTGTGGTGATACGACGGCCGATGCTGGTGGGAGTGCGACGGCGACTGCAATCGCTCTGGAAGCGTCTGGGAAGACGATGACACCGATTCTGTGGACGATGACGATGACACTACCGTTTCCTCCTCTTCCTCTGCATCCGCCTACAGCTTCCTTCTTCGACACTGCCGGAGCTAGAGTCATCACCACCGTTCTCGCACGTCCCTCCTCCTCTTCACCTGCACGCGCCTCCACATTCCTTCGCGCCACCCGCCCCTCCGCCCCCGTGTAACGCCAACTCGTCAACGGGTCCGTTAGCTATGTCCCCAAGTCTACATCCTCGGCGTCGACGGCCGTGGTGGGATCGTGCGCGAGTGTGGTCACGGTGACTGCGGAGACGACGCGATTCTGGTTGGCCCGGCTCTGTCGGCAGTGTATCGATTGTCGTCGATGGCTCTTCGAGTGTGAGCGCATCCTCGGCTATCTCTACGCCGCCTCCTCCCTAGCATCAGGCGTTGTATCATCCTCTTCCTCTACCGCGAACCCCTTCGTTGAGCACAGTGCCTGCGATCGCATCTGGTGCCTTGGCCACTTCGGTGTCATCTACTATCACCCCGCGTCCTCGTCCGCCGCATCTTCATTGGCCACCCCCATCCACATCCGAGCCGGAGAGGATTCGAAGCTGTTGCACAGAGCTCTGCCAAGGCGAGTCTCGGTAGCAAGCTGGCTGCCAAGTCCAGTGCGAGCACTGCTGTTTCGTCCAGTGCGGCTGTGTCCTCTGCATCACCTCATCGGTGTCTCCATCTTCTACTTTAGTCCTAAGCACAACAAGTAGCGTAGAGGAGACTGCTACGTCGAGTAGCAAGGGACCACTTTCGTTTGTAAGATACTACTTTACATAATGGACATGGACTTTCTTGCATTTGCATTTCTTTGAACATATGTACACTGTTGTACTTACTCTCCTTTTCTTGCAACTTGTTGCACGAGACGTGCGCTACACTTGAGTACCGGTTTCGAAAATCAATCCAAAAAGAATCGCTTCAATAACTTTCTATTCGGATCCGGGGAATTGAACCCCGAGCTGCCGCAGCTCGTCGTCAAACTATCCGAGGCGGATACGTTGGCTACCAATACACCATAGGTATCCGACGAGGATCTGTATTCCTCTTGCCTACCCTTGTGGTTGGACTACTAAGTATGCCGAGGAAATGCAAAAAAATAAAATGCTCAGAGCCCTGACCTTGCTTTATTCATGACGGATACCGCGAATCGAACCGAGCAAACGCGCGCATATCACAAACGAGGCACTGTGAGAGACAGCGTTGTTGGCCTTTACACCATATGCGACGAGTCCTCTGCCTTCATTGAACGATCCTTGGGCCTTGGGCTGAGTATGTCGAGGGAAAAAAACGGCGGCGACCACGATTAATTTGGATACGGGGAGTCGAATCCCTGTGCATGAGAGGTAGCGATGTTAACCTGTACACCATAAGTACCCGACGAACATTCCTTCCCTACTTACTTGCTGATGATGAGGCTTTTCCTCTTGAGCGTTGTTTCTCTCAGGGCGAGCGCAAGGTTTATTGCGCCACACGCATTTGTTTGCGCTCACAAAAAAAACCAGACAAGAGGATGATCATTGATGGGTTATTTCGGATACGGGGAATCGAACCCCGAGCTGCCGCGCACTTTCAAAGATTTGTGAGAGGCGGCAATGTTAGCCGTTACACCATATCCGATAGCGTCTGTCCCAGGCAGCTGAGTGTTGGCGGCTGCGCAGTGAGTACTTCGCAGAGACCGAAGAAGGGAAGAAAGGGAACCGACCGTCTTCATCTTCGCTCCACATCATGTCATAGACGAGTTTCTCCAAGTCGCTCATCCGCACGGAATGGGATGAGCGAGCGCAATCGCAGGGTGTCCAAACTATTGAGAAAGAGTCAGGAAGGGTATCACCTAGCAGCACGTTAGCTGAGTGTAAGAGTGATGAGCGGGATTCCTCGGACATTTTGTATATGATGTATTACAGCGTCTCCGTGGCTGAGGAGACGAAGCAGCCCATCACTGAGGACGTGAGCGACGGAAGCGGGATCGGCGACGCTCAAAAGTTCTCTAACCCGCGGCTTGAGAATTCGGGTTTTGGAGGACGAGGGCGACGTGGGGATCGTTGGGTAATCAAAACGTGAAAGGGTATGATAATTCTGCAACACTGCGCGCGCACCGATGCATCGAGCGCCTTCGCACTTGCAAACTGGAACGATATATGGTGAGCGAAGCCACATAGCTCGCCGGGAACTTTCGAGACAACCTACTTTGTGCGATGCACTCCTAAACCAATCAAGTTCGCGTTCCGAGTGGATGAAGACGCGGACTTTTTCACTAGCGATCCGAATGCTTCTGGAGACCGGCCTGACGAGGGCATTGAAAGTAGGCAGCGTTCGGGCTCTTCCAGCAGCTCTGCGCTTGCGGGGAATGGCGCGCATCCACTTGTACGAGGCCAACTTTTTAGCAAGCCGAGTCGTCATATTAACTGTCCGAGTCCGACTAAACATTCACAACAAGAACAACGCGTCATGAAAGAAGTACACACCTGGGATGATCCTGCAATGAGTACTGACGAGGAAGGAAGGAAGGAAGGAAGGAAGGATTACACGGCTCGGTCCCTTCAGGAACGCCGGCAGACACATTACATGAAGCAGTACGTAGGTCCCAATCTACGATCCACCTCACTCCTGCATCTCTCCCCACAAGCAATCCTTAGCCGAGCTCTCGGCGCCAGCCGGGTAGAACTAAGGTGCCCTAGGAAGCTAAACAACCATAAGTCAAGAACTATGGGAAATGGAAGTCAATAATTAGGGCGTGTACCGGACCTGCAGTAAGCATTCATCGTCGGCGCGCATGTCGAGGCCTATGAGGTCGAACGAGGCGAGTGCGAGTCTAGTTGACATGACTCCCGAGCACACATCTAGATGGCACGGCTATTTCCGAGAAACTGTACAGTTCCAGAAACCCCTAAAAAATTAGTTGTCCACACCGCTGCAGTGTCGCCAAGAAAGCAACACATGCACGTCGTCGGGATGAAGTAGACACCAGTGGCAGATCATCACAAAACCCGACATCCGGATATAACCACGCCACATACCCCAAATGGTGAGGTATACCTGACATACCATGTGAGGGTATTAATACGTGTCTGTTGTTGCGCCATCTGCATACATACCCCAATGCAGGTCACCCTGTATTCAGATATATGGTCCTCCATAATTTCTCTTCCCATGAAATTCTTTTGTATACCTTTCATTGGACCCACATGTGTACCCTTACTATGAAGTGAGCTGCATGCATATTCGTGGTATGCAGCAGTCTACAGTTTAATATTTCCCTTTGGTGGATCACAAGTTGATTGTATGGCAAATAATAACATTTGTCTAGTGTACGTACAGCAGCAACATCGAGGCGAGCCAAGCTATTGCCACCTCTACGCTAGTACGCATCAGTCCGAACTAGTCCGCAGCGAAAGAAAAACATGCATATAGAACTTAACCAATAGCATACATACCTTGCTCGTCGACGCCCACCGTGTTGCACAGTCCCAAGCCGCCCGTACGCCCACCCATATCGTCATCGTGTACGTGTCGTATACCAAAACACAAGCTGCAAATACTTTAGCTGAGAAAGCGCAACAGTTTGAGCAGAAGCTCACCAGTACACAAGGGAAATCAGTTGGGCAGTAAAGATGTAGGGAAGAGGCTGTAAAAATCATCAGACAAGATACTATGCTGGATCATGCACGTACAATTGAGGGGAGCGCGTTGTCAAGCGACGCATATCACTAGACGAAAGCAACATAATGTAAGGAATCTGACAGGGTAACGGAACGGGAGGCACGCACCGTTATCACGCGGCGTCTAACAAGTAGACTATATGTGTCAGAGAGTGCCTAGCGTCTCCGTTCTAGTTTACTTACCGTTTTCGTCTCTGTTTTAGTTTACTGCCTGATCGGAGAGAGCCCCTAACGTTGCTCTCTCCGATACAGGTGTGTCGATTGCATGTAACTACCGTGTACAATATTAACGTTGCTCTCCCCGATACAGATACAGAGTTTGACAGGTTATGGGCCCCGTTGAGCTCTGAAGCAACTATATTTTGTCGTACAAACCACAACGAGATTTTGCTCTATCCGAGACATGTCGAACATACAGACTCAAGGCGGCCATGATGAGAAGGAATGGAAAGGCATAAAGCTGACTCCTATCAAGGTGGAGGAGGATGGTACGAATAACTACAGCGAGTTCAAGCGAAAGGCGGAGCTCGATCTCGATGCTGCCGGATATTGGCGATATGTCGATGGTCCCGACTATAAACCGCCCGTCATTCCCGAACTCAGACAGACCATGCAGGTCCAAGGCTTCGATAGTGCTGGAGCAGCAGCTACGGTGACAGTGCCTGGAAATGAAGCTGATGTCGAGGCTGCGAGGAAGAAAGCTGAAGCCTGGCTGTTGGCGGACAAGAGGGCCCTGTCCATCATCATCAAAGCCATTCCCATCACCAAGCTGTTCGTCGTCCATGACTGCCACTCTGCTCATGACGCTTGGCATGCTCTCAAGAAGCAGTTTGAGCCTGCCAACGCGCTGTACGCGCTCACCCTTCGCAATCAGATCACCAGTTTTCGATGCCAGGCTGGTATTGATCCTGTCCAGTGGCGAGAGGTGATGATTCAACTCTATAGCAAGCTTCAGGATGCCGATCCAGGAGCCATGATGGACGCTGAATTTGCCAAGAATCTTGTCGCACTCATGACAGAGTCCGAAGATTGGCGATACTGTCGCGACTCGCTTCGCGAAAGCCTTCGACTGGGCGAAACCATGAACAGGCCATTGACGTCTGCTCAGGTTATTGACCGACTGATGACGGAGGAGGTGGAGATGAAGATCGCGCCGTCCATTGTGTCCGTTAATGCGCTCGTCGCTGGGTCTGCTAAAGCTCGATCGGTTGAGCAAGCCGTCCCAGGTGTTTATGCTGCAAACCAAGCGGCACACAAAGACGATAAGGCGCAGCAACGTGCTGGCAAACGTCCTGCTCCCTATAATCCTCAGCAGCGCAGCCGTCTCATTTGCGAGAATTCCTTCTGTGAAACTCCCGTCGGACACACCAAAGAAAATTGCTTTGCATATGGCGGAGGGAAGGCTGGAAGGTACCCCGCAAACTTCCGAGGTAGGAGAGACGTCCATCTTGCCCCAGAAGCGAGGATTGCTGCTCGGCGTAAGCAAGCGCTGGAGGGAGGCAGAAGTGGAGGAATGGGTAGTCGTTTTGCTGGACTGACAGAAGCAGTGAAGAATGAGGAGGAAGAGTTGAATGAAGTCGCAACAATGGTCAAGGAGGAGGAAAGGAAGGAAGTGTTTGGCACAATCAATGACGAGTTTGCGTTTATACTTGAGGCGACGGGCGATGATGCTGACGATGAAATTGCCATCGATGAAGAAGTCCGCGTTAATGCTGCCGCGCTTAATCTCGAGGTTGCGCAGGATGACACGGTTAACCACGATACGGGGGCTTCGCGCCATATCTTCCATAGGCGTGAGCTGTTTGGTGACTATGTCCCATTTGATGCTCCGCTTAACGTTCATGGATTCGGAGCAAATTTGTCTGCGCAAGCTGTTGGAAAAGGAAAAGTCGTTATGAAGGCGACGTACGATGGTATGACGCGGCATTTCTCGGTATCAAATGCTCTCCATATTCCTACTGCCCGTTGCAACCTCATTTCTGGCTCTCGTCTTGATAGGAAGGGAGTCAATACGCGAACCGGCAATGGGAAAATCACTTACCTCAATACAGCTGAGGTCCCATTTGCCTCTGGAGCGATCGTGAAGGATTTGTACAAGATGGATGTGGTGACGGTTGAAGCTGAAGCCGATAACTTGGATCCATCTCCAGATTTGATCGCTGCTACCGTGCCCTCGGTAACTTCCCTTTTTGGCCCGGACGTCGAAAGCGACCAAGCTAAGCGCTTGGGTTTTATCATCGTCTGATGGGCCATGTAGACGTTAAAGGGCTCAAGCGCGCGACGACTGGACTTCCGATCGACGCTGTTCTCGTCAAGAATTGCCGTATCTGCGCTTTGGCCAATATAAAACGGCTCAAGTTTCCGCGCAAAGCCACGAATCGCGCGGATCGTCCTCTTTTCCGAATTCATTCTGACATTTGTGGACCATTGCCCGTCGGTTATGGTGGGTTTCGCTACTTCATTACCTTCAATGATGATAACTCCCGTTATATTGTCATTTTCTTCCTCAAACACAAATCTGATGCCTTACAATGCTTTCACGAGTTTCGCACAGCTGCCGAGAAACTGCTCGGCTATTCCATTGTTTTTCTGCGCATTGACAACGCCCCGGAGCTCGTCGATGGCCAATTCCGCGACTACTGTAATGCGCACGGGATCACGTACGAAAAGACAGTTCCGGACGCGTCTCAACAAAATGGCGTCGCAGAGCGCACAAATCAAATTATCGAGCGTATGATTCGCGCTATGCTCGTCGATGCTGAACTATCCCATTGGTTCTGGCCATTAGCCGCTCAGGCTGGTGTGCATATCAAGAATCGTATCCCACATGCAGCACTTCTTTCCGACGAAACACCTTTTGAGGGCTGGTTTCAAAAGAAGCCTGACCTCTCTCATCTCCGACCTTTTGGCGCGCTTGTCACCGCAAGGAAGACGAACTCGGATGACCTCAATAAAGTC